TACCTACAGAAAATCCCCTATGAAATGGGTTACTAAAGAGCTGCTCTAATACTAGAGGTGTATAGCATGACAGTACTGATCAAAGTGGGACAAACGTAATGCCTTTCCATCGGTGGAGGTCAAAATACACTGTTAGCATTTGAGATCTCTAGATGTGCCAGAGTGTGGACATAACTGTAACAGGGGAGGTTATATTACCAAACCAGTGCAAAACAAAGAATGGTTTTTTTGGAGTGGAGTGAATGGTGGGACAGGAAGATAACTTTGAGGAATGACTGCCTGACAGCAGTTAACTTAAGATTTAGTGTTTGACACAGCCCAGCTGGGAAGAAAGAACAGGAGGCAAAGGAGAAAAGCAAAGAAAGACAATGAAGGGGGCAAGATTCAGTGACACACACACACAAAAAGCATCTACTCCCCCAGTTTCCTGTTTCCACTAAAAACATGGATTGTTTCCTTCTGTCTCATACTGGTGACAGATTGTGCAAAATGTATGTGGAGAGCTGGCTGGAACATAGCTCACAGCCTGCCAAGGACCAAATGTGTAACAATTTCAAAATGACAGCAACACAGCCATTAAATATTTGATGAGGAACTCTTTTAAGTCATAGGTTTCAAATCCCCTTTTAAAGCAAGGGAAGTATTTTATATTAATTTTACTGATTGAGAAATGTAAACAGAGTGAGAATTTGCTTATCCAGAGTTGCAGGCTGTTACAGGCCAGAACTTAGAACGGAGCTCTCTTTTATGAAACACTCAATGCTTGTGATTAAACTGTCTGCAAATTATGTTTTTCCTCCATAACATAGTTGTGTAACATCTTTGTTTCAGTCTTCAAATTGGAAGAAAAGTAAGGTTCATCATACAAGAGTGTCTGGTGGCCTAATAAAATCTCCCTCTCTTCCCCATTTGTGGTGTTTGATCTGCACTGCTGTATTACTGCTTACTTACCCAGCTTGTTCCCAAGATGGCATTCTCATCAGGTTATAGCAAAATATATCCTTTGAATGCAGGAGGAATTGGAGTCGGTTACGTTCTACAAAGTCCTGCTGTTTTCATTGGGCTCGGCTACCTAATTAAAGATCAAGTCAACTTCCCAGTGTTGAGATTCAGGATGAAATCTACCACATGCAAGGATGATGAGCCTATCTAGCTAGGAAAATTAAAGATAAAAAGAGTCAAAGCTGCTGAAAGAAAGGCAAGGCCACCCGGCAAAGTTTATGAAAGGCACACTCTCACTTGCTATGTGTGAGCTGCATAGTGTTAAGAACGTAATCACCAGCGTACATTTCAGATTGGGGGAACCAGTTCTCATTATGCTTTTGTCAGCTCGGAGAATGAGAAAGATGTGGTGTGAGCACTGGTCTGGATGCTAGAACTCATGAATTCCAATCCCGATAATGACAAAAGATCACTGTGTGGGCAAGTCACTTAACCCCTCTGTGGTTCTCTTTTTTCAGAAGTGAAATGAGAATAGTATTTCCCACTCAGGAATGTGGAGGAAGATTAATTAATGTTTGAAAAGCCAGTCTTGCAGTGGGAAGAGTTATATAAGAGCTAAGTGTTTATTAATGATCACCCTTTTATAGAAACTACTTCTTAGCACAGTGATATGGTAGATTAATGAAATGTGCTCTATCTGCAAAATAAGAGATTAGGGTGAATTCAGGAAGGTTCAATCTGTTGGAGAAACCATGAAGTTCTGACTTAGCTTCTATTCTAGCAAAGTCTCACTGAAGGCAATGGTTCTTTTGCCTGACTAATATCATGATACCCTTTTTCCCCTGCAAAAGTCTAATTTGCTTGGGGAATAGGAAATCTCTGCAGTTTCAACATATGGCATCACTTTGGACTTTTTCCATGACAGAACATGAATTTGAAAGGTGGAAATGTCTAGACACCAAGAAAAAAAGCTGCTGGAAGCTGCACATCTTTGGTCCTACAAAGGATCTGCTGGGACTGTGTAAACAGAACTCCTTTGCCTCACCTCTGGTTATAAAGCCCTCCAAATTCCTTTTTAGCTAGGCATGTCTCAGCTTGCTGCCACCCTTGAAGGCCATCTGAAAGTTTTGGCAGTGGGAAGGGCTCAGCTGCAGAATTACTACTGCCTCAGCTTATATCAATACTTGCTGTTTTTTTCCTGGTGAGCTGATACTTTTTTTGCTGGAGACGGGCAAGTCTGCAGACCCATCTGATTTCCTATGCCATCCTAAACTCCGCAGCTAAAATCCCTGCAGGATCCTGTAGGGAATGGAGGCAAGGCCACGGCCTTGGGACTTCCTGCACGGAATGCAAGTTTCCTTTCGTGCATTGAGGGAGAAAAATGCATGAGGCCTATATTCAAGGACACGGTGCTTTTGTAAGGTAACAACTGTACAGTTAGAATTGTGGGTATGTTTTCAGGTAGAGCGGAATAAAATAAAGTCTGGTAGAATTTTTTGAAATATTTTTGTTTTGAAATTTAAAACTCCCTCGAATAGGTAAATGAGACTGGGTTTTAGAGCTTATCTGATTTTGCAACTAGGTTAGCAGTAACGCAGAATCAAGCTATATACGAGCAAGATATAGTTGGATAGTAAACATCACACAGCTATTAACTCCAAGTGCCTCCTCCTTTGTCAGTACAGCACTGATCAGCTGACAGTGCTCTGAAAATAATTTAAGTAGACAGACGTTTTTGAGCAGTATCAGTAATTCATAGCAGAAGAATTATTTAACTTTCATCTTCAAATGCACACAAGTAAGGGGGATAGAGTAAGATACGTAGTATGATACTCAAATAATCTGCTAGAAATGTAAATCTATCTCTCCATTCTAAGAAATGCTGTAACATTTGTGTAATTAGAAGGGGTTATCTTTCTGAAATAATTTAAACAGTGAACATTTTGTAGCTGTCTCCGGTTTGATGATTACTTTTGTGTTACACTTTTTCCAATATTCAAAAAGTGGAGACAAAGTCGTACAGAACTGTGGATATCTTGCTGTTTGACTCCCTGCCAGCATCTGTTCCATTGCTTGTCCTTTGCTCTGTAGGACCGCAGAGGAGGAGTTTCCCTCTCCAGAATGCATTAGAAGAATACACAGCTGGTACTAGAAGAAGGGAGACCAAACTGACGTTTTGTGGAGAGCATGCAGCTAAGAGCAGTCTAGTTGTTCAAAATGTCTGGCACGAGAGTTAGGTTTACATATGAAATGAGGGCAGATGCTTCAACGAATGGATGTGCATATGTATCTAGCCATTTTATTTCTCCCCAACTTTCTCCCCCTCTCTGCTGCAGGAATTCTTATTTCTAAATCAAGGGCATTCAAAGACTTAAAAAAATCTGTGGCTAAGGACACATTACATTTGGAGAAAGTTTTTGTACTGTTATGATGACTGTATGATCATCATCTTGCAGAATGGAGAAAACTGGGATAAAAGTATCTAAAATTCCAGATCACTCATTTATATCACGAGGTTGTTTTACACATTTCTAATAAAGCAAAGTATTTTCCTTGAGTGAGTTTGCAAATCAGCTAGAAGAGGTGGAGAATGAAATATGTTATCACGCTAGGCTTTGATTTACAGTTTTCTATCATCTGTTCCAGAATGTGGTCCATCAATTGGCTTTTTGTGAGTAGTAGCAGAAAAGTATAATAACGGAAGTTTTACTTAGATGTAAATGAATATTTGGGGTGGGTCTTTTTTGATTTTTTTGTTTATGGAGCCTTATGACATTCCCAGACTCAGGTGTCTGGGGAATGAGAAGTAAGTATCTATACACATTGCAGGATACACTTTCAGTATCGGGGCTGAGGGAAGTTTTTAGGAATGGATGGTGACTTCCCCCTTGGAGATTTTTTCAAGGGGTCTAAAAACAAGACAGAGAAATAGACTGCTGGGTTCTGTTCTCTCTTCTGGCGCCACTTCCTTCACTTTCCTAAGCAAGCTATGCAGGACAGACTACTGGGCATGACATTTATTCCTGTGTGAAATCCTTGAGGTTAATAAAGCTAGTAAAGTGATGGAAAATGTGGCTGGGAGTAAAAATTTGCAGGAGGGGCACTAAGCTTCTTTGCCTTTGTTTTCTAATCTTTTAAAATGGCAATAATTGTATTTGGTAGATGAAATAGCTGTATAAAAGAAAATGGACGTTCAGAGACTGCTTTGAAGATGAAAAGAGATAACTTTTAGAGACAATAACATGAATTAAAAACTTTATAGAGGCTGAATTTGTATGTAATGAATCTTATGATGAAGCTTGCCCTTGTGGTGAGCTCCCTGTGCAAATGTAGACCTTTCATCACCCTGAATTGTTTGATCCTGTTCTTAATATCTGTTGACTTAGTCCTAAAATAAACAAAAGTTCAGAAGGAGGATTCTGTGTCACACATTGTATTATTTATTGGGATGCTGAATATGAAATTTACCTGGACAAAGAAGTATTACTACTAAATGTTCTTGTAGCAAGAAACTGTGGATGATTTCCATCTCCTTGTCTTGACTGGGAATCTGCGGAAAAAGCTATTTATTACCCTTTTACAGAAAGCCTTTTTTTAAAAAAAAAAAAAGTAATACCGTTTCCTTTTCTCAGAGATCAGTAATGAAGAAAATAATGTCCTTTCTTCTCAGTCCAGTTCCCACTGCTGTGCATTGTGCGGCACCAACATCGGAACTGGCGTTTCATTTAATTTTATGTGCAATCTTGTTAGTGATCTCAGCAGAGAGGATTAGGGCTGTATGAGCTGCGGAGACTGAATGTGCATTTGCCGAGGCCTGTAGGAGGGACTCCTGGAAGCATGGTGGGAAGAAAGCTTGTGTGGGAACGACCAGCTGCAGGGCTGCCCTTCCGTCACCTTTCACCAACATTGGCTGGAAGAGTTTCGGGCAGGCGTGTGGAGTGTGTGGTGCTGCTCTTGGGGGAGAAGGGAGCGTTATTTGAGAGGAGGATGCCATTGTTGCAGATCACACTGATGTTTCCATTCTCTCTTCCCCTCCCTCATATCTCCTTTCCTCCCAGTCTGTGGCAAGCGCTACAAGAACAGGCCTGGGCTGAGCTACCACTATGCTCACACCCACCTCGCCAGCGAAGAGGGTGATGAAGCCCGCGAGCAGGAGACCCGCTCTTCCCCTGTCCACAGAAATGAAAACCACAAACGTGAGTACTATTTTCCCTTTCCCTTTGAGATCATTTTCAGGAATGTTGCCTCCACCCTGTCTTTGCCTTGCGGAGGCTGGCGTGATTGCCTGGCTCTGTTGTGAGTGATTGGGACCTGGACGCTTGGAGCTAATCAGCCGCAGCTCACACGGGTGCTGGCTCAGCTAGTCAGGAATTCATTTCAAACCCAGCATTATCTCTGCAGCAAGTCACTTTTCCATTACTGCTCCTGTGAGGAGGAGGTGGCAAGGAGAGGGGGGAAAAGAAGAGATGCCCAACCCGCCCATCATCAAGCAGCCTCCCAGTGGCTGTTAGCAGAGATGTCAAGGAAATACACATCCTGTTTGAGGGGGCTGTCTTTGTTTTGCCTTTGAATAAGAGACATTTATCCATGTCTCAGTTTTTTATGTATGAAATTCACAGCACCTGTCCCCCCTATCCCTGCATCTCCTCCCCAAACAGCTTACCCTCAACTTTACCAAAAGCCACTTCTTAGTTACAGTTTGGGAAACTCTATGAAAAAGCATCAGTATTCATGTGCAAGGAGGAGAGCTGGAACATGAGAGAAGAGAAGAGTTATGTGCCTAGATTCCCCACACTGGTACAGGGCTGAAAGAAATCTTAGTGGTCCGTGTGGCCCTATTTGACTGTCCTTCCTCTGCTTCTTAGGCACAGAACTGGGAGTCAAGGAGACTGTGTTTTGTTACTGATTTTTGCAAGTCTCTAAGCCCCTGTTTCTCAGTTTTCCAGTGTGCAATACTATGTGATGGTTGCTTTCACCTTGGGATTTGTGTAGATGCCTTTGTTCACTTTCAAAAAGTCCTTTCAGATCACCATGTGAACTGTGTCATTTTAGTTCAAAGTAATGAACAATGTGGACAAAGCAATAAAATGCTTATGGGGAAAAATATCCAGGCAAACACTTTCTCATACATTAAGAAGAACTGGAAGAAATATGGAAGTAGGAAAACATTTCCTTTCTAAGCAGGATAATTGATAATTGTCCCCAGGGAGGTGTGGGAGGGGGTTTCCTTCCTCCAAAGCATCTGCTACTAGCCACTGTCTGAGCTTGAAGGGCCGTTTAGTGTGATCCCATTTGGCAGTCCCTATGTTTCTGTCACTTTTATGCTCTACCTTTTAGTTATTCACATGTTTTGTAGGTTCACAGCAAAAGTAATTTTGACTCCTCCAGCTGTTGATAAACTTGAGCTGTCAATGCACTAAGAGCGACTGCTTGGGCAGGCTGGAGAATGTCAGTGTTAATCCAGTAGCTTTTGTTTACTTAGCTTTACATCATCTCTGTTGGTTTTTTTTCCCTGTGTCTGCAGTAGTCAGTAATAGTTGCATGTCTGAGGGGCATATTGCAAATCTGTATTGAATTAATATTGATAATGGCCTTGCACAAATGCCCAGACAAAGAAGGGTCGTGTCCCCTACCCTTCAGCTTATCATAGAGGCCAAGGAGAGTCTCAGTCCTTATGTTTCTGGTACTTAGGAAATGACAGAAGTTAGCAAGAAGAGGAGCTGTGGAAAGGTTAGCAGCAGCTGGCCTTCCCCCATGGAAAGAAAGGTGTGCTCTGCACTATGGGAAAGGATAGAGTGGGAGTTGCTCAGGCTTGTGTTCCCCCAGAGCTCCTGTGTGATGCATGTGGCAGAGGGAAGCTGTTGATGCACAGATTCCCATACGGGTAGAAGTTTAGGGCCAGTGGGATAACCTGCTCTGAGATCTAGATTCCTGAGCAGAAAGAATCTGCTTAACAACCAGCCAGGAGCCAGTGAGGTACGGGCAACAGCCATGCGAATGTGAAGATCACCCCTGGGGAAAGTCCCAGATGCCGGAAGGTAACTCTCCCAAATGGCTTAGCTGTCGCAGTGGCTGTTTGTTCCTTTTTGCCTGTTTGTTTGTTTACAGCCTTGAGCTCAGATCTTGCATCTTTGCTCTTTCACTTGGCTATATTTAATTTATGCTGCCATTTATCTTCCATGTGAATGCTAATTGTCCACATTGCTAATGTGCAGTCATTAAATGGTCCCTTTGTACGGGGGGATGGTGGGGAGCCAGGGCATCAGATCCTTCCTCTCCCCTAAGAACTGCTAGGCTTGTGTTATGAATTAGATTTGACAGGTCTGCACTGTCGCACAGCTCGGGCTTCAAGAATCCTCTCTGCATGGGCTTGGGGGGCTGGGGGGGAGGGAAGGTGGGGGGGGATGTTAATCCAAACAGCTAATCCGCAACCTACTGAACAGGAGGACCAGAGATATGGTATACAGCAGGGTCTGGTTATTTGCTTAGCAGCGTGTCAGAGAGATATGAGCAGCCTGATTTAGAAAAGGCAAGGCAAATTCAAACCAGCCATTTGAAATTTGCCGTGCTGTGGGAGGTAAGCACTGGGTCAGCAAAGTTCAGGCAGGCGGCTGCAGCATGAACTTCCTTCCTTTGTACCCGTGCCTCCTCTGCAGCCTCCGCTCCTTGCAGTACCTGTGGTAACAGCAGCCGGGCTGATGCGGGAGAGAGCTTTCTGGAGCAGGGCTTCTGCAGGATTCAGCTATTGATGCCCTGGCTGGTGCCAGCTCAAGAGCTGACGGCCTCTTGTCTTTCTGCACACCCAGTCCCCTTTATCTTTACTCTTCTCCTCATGCACAGACCAATTGGGTAGTTCAGTAAATTATCCAGGGACTGGAAAAGAGATCTAGATAGGAGGAACCTACCTGATACTGAGAACCACTGAATAGATGTGTATCGAAGAATGGGGACTGGCTCAAGCCCCAAGTCTCGCCTCTTTGGAACATCTCGCTGTCCTTGACTGTTATAGAAGGTTTGTTTATTTACATCTCTCTCTCCTTCTGTCCTTCTCCCTCACCTATAGATTACACTTTGCAATGTGGAAGATAGTTCAACAGTCTTCTCTGGCCTTTGCCTTTCCTAAAACTTCTTAGCCTGTGCTTTCTTTGAGCTTTAGTTGCTTTGTTTGTATGTCTTATCTAGTCCTTTGATGCAGATAAATAGCCCTTCCTCAGTGCCTAGTCTTGCATCTGCCTATACACACATTTATTTTTGACCTACTCTGATTTTTTTACCCGAGTATGGAACTGTGAAAAGGAAGTTACAGAAAAACCTTAAAAAAGTCAACTCCCCCCTTCCTCAACTCCACTGATAAAAAGAAATGATCCCACACCATTCTCAGCCTTTTTTTCTGCTGGCTTTTCCTCCACATGTTGGCACCAAAAGCGTGAGATTTGTGAGCCCAGGGTGCATCCAAGCCTGCCACAAAACACCTGCTGTTTTATTCCATCTCACTCCATGGGTACAGGCCAGCTCTGAGGGCAGCTGGTGCTCACAAATTTTGAGACACTTCTGATATAGGAATTACATTAGACTTCTATCTATTGAAATGTGTGTGTGAATGAGTGTACTAGTATAAATGCTCTTCCTTAATTCCTGGGAGAATAGGATAGTGTGCCTACATGGAGAAAAACTTCCTCTCCTTCAAAGGAGAAGAGTTTTCAGTGGCATTTTGCTGTGTGAAACGTTGGTTACAGGCAGCTGTGCAGTAAACAGCAACTGAACAGATCTTATGCCCACAAGCACTTTGGCCAATGACAATCCTAAATAAAGCACATTGTGTGGGCTGTCGCTGGCCTAGCTGCCGTGTGCAGGTTGGTCCATCCTGCAATACACGTAGTTAAGGAGAATGCAGTCCTGTGCCCTCCTGTCACTGCTAGCTTGCGCACCTGACCTGCAAAACCACCTGTGTACGTTATTTTGTGGCATCAGCCTGTTGTGCCCAGTTCCATTGCAGATTTTATGATGTGGATAAATCTCTACTGGAGAGACCAGCCAAAGTTGTTTGTGTACTCTAAGCATAATTGGATACCCAGTCTCCAGAGATAAAAAATTAATGTGCTAACCTCAGTGTGCTTCCAAGCTGTCCTCCAGCTCCCCCACACAGTCATCTTTGAAACATTTTTATTTCCATCCAGGCAGGGGGCTGGCCATGAATAAATGACGAGAGTCAGCCCCTCAGTTGGAGACGAGCTGTTTGTTCCTCTCCACAAGCAGCATCAATTTGAAAAGCTACATCAGGCCTACTTTTTCCCTGCCTCATTGCTGGTCCTCACTGGGGCCATGATGGGAGCTACTTCTGAATGCAAGGATGCATCAATGCCCACCTTGCGACAAGATACCCTGCAGCAGGTGCCTTTTCAGTGAAAATATGTACATTACCTTGAGTTGACTTCTCATTAGTTTAATGTTTGGTTTTTTTTCTTTTCCAGAGCTTGTTTTCATAAGGAAAAAGAGTCAGAATACTAAAAGAAATGGTAGTGATTGCAGAGTTTGGAACTGCATAACGATTTCCACTCAAACCCTGTTTGCAGCTGTAAATTTCTCAGACTTTTATGCCTGTGTTTTGGGATGCTGAGGAAAAAAATAGAGCAGTTGTTTAGAGTTTTGGAATAGTGGGAAATCCCAAACTTGTTTCCTATGTACAGGGACCCATAGGGGACTTTTTGTTGTTTTCTTTGGAGTTGTAGGGGTTTTTTTTGGTAGTTTGGGTTTTTTTTTGATATACTGCCTGGCCAGGACCTGAAATGTGGTTGTCAATGCACAACTCTCATTGAAGAGAAGCACCTAGTGCTTCTCAGTAGTTTATGGGAAAACATTTCCAATTTGACTAATTAGTTTTTGAAAACCGTGTGTTGCTTCAGTAACATGTCAGCTCTTGAGACAGAATGGTATCATTTATGTATTTATAGGTTTTTTTCCTTTCTCGCTATCTCCTTGCTTTTTTTCTCCTCTGTGGAGAATTTGAACAAAGTAAAACCCAAAACTTTTGATTGAATTTGAACTTAGGTGCTCTGCCTTCTCGCACTCCTCCAGTGAGTAATTTCCAGATCCAAATCCTACAACATGTCGCAGGGACCCATTTCACGACACTGGCCATTCTTACCTGAATACTGAGGGATGCTGCCAGATGGGGCTGTATATCGAGCACTATAAT